GGCTCCACCCGCGCCGGCCGGGCGCATCGCCCAGCGGCAGCCTGCGCGCACCCGCTTGCCTCTCCAGGGCGCCTGGGCACACGCGAACGCAGAGAGGGGAAGCCGGGAGACTAGAGCCCTGTGCGGCACAGCCATTAACTGCCGCGGCTGTGGGCTGGTGAATGATTAACAGGCACCAGCAGCGCGTCAGCAGCTACGAAAGGGGGGTGGGCGGAGAAAAGGAGGGAGGAAGGCGATATAGGTGGTTTATCACCCTCACCCAATTCTTTCCTTCCCAGTTTTGAGCTTCGATCGGCTAGAGAGAGCAGTTGCTTCAGGGGTTCCCTGCAGCACCCCTTTGCCCATCCCTTAAGGGGACCTGGGGGGTTTCTCGGCTTTCCTGGAGGGTGGGTGGGAACAGAAGGTGTAGATTCCGTCCCATCCCACCCGGCTCCTGTCCAAAGCAAAGACTGAAGCAGACCCCAGGCACAGATGTACGGAGTTCATCTCAGTTTCCTTCAGTTGCTGCCCCGCCCTGAAAGACCCCAACTCCACTCCGGTCCAATCGTCCAGGGCCCTAAACTCCCACCTCCGGCCCTCGCCTGCCCTGCCCCTCACACCCGCCGCGGAGGCCTCTAGTCCTTACCCAGGGCGCGCTACCTCCAGAGCGACGCGTAGATGGCCCGTGCAAAGTGCCTGTGCTTGTCTGGTAGCGCGGTGACGTTCTTCGCGCGGTCCCACTCCTTTCCTTGGACGGGACCCCAGCACAGGCGCCCACACAGATACTCTGAGAATCGCTTAATCTGACCCTAAGCCGCAAGCGCTAGATCGTGGAAGGATAGCAGCCGTGCGTTAGGGCTTATGCGTTACAACCCCGCAGCTCTTCGCGGGCTGGTGTGTTCAGGAGCCCGAGAAAAACCACTGCGAATCTTTTAATAAAGCTTGTAGTGCCCAGAGCCCCCTGCGTCTCCCAGAGGAATAGCGAGTGCAAAAAGGCGGACACGGGGCTGGGAGCACGGAAGGAGCCTGAGCCTTCGCCCTCTCCACTCCCCCACAACCCGCGGCGAGCGTGCCAGGCGCGGTATCGGAAATCCATGCAGGTGTTCACCCGGGATGGATACGGCCGTGCCGCCCGGCGAGGCTCCGCCCGCGTCCCTGCTGTACTTTGTACCCGGGAGAGTTGGCGGCCCCTGGGGAGGAGCGTGTAAAGGCCTGGGCCAGTAGGGATGCTAGCTCTTCTAAACTCGGTGGGAGCCGGCTGTGTAGGTAACCAGACCTGTCACCAGCTCCAGGAACAGCAGGACGACCTTTTAAGATATCAGCCTTTTCTGAGGTCCCTGGATGTGTGTCCCAGCTCCAGTTCACGTGTCTAAACCTTTAAGACAGAAGTCAATGTGGGCATGCCTAAAACTCGCTGACTTCATTTAGGAATTGAATCGTTTCTGCTTTTTAAAAAAATGTTCAATTGCCATGATTTTTAACGACCTCCAAGACTTTCCACCACCCCTTAGTCTGGACTCCTTTTGGCTTGCCAGTTGTTTCCGTCCAAAGGAAAATCACTCCATCTAGCTCCCCTACTCCTTTTCAAGATCCCCTTAAGTCTTTTTCTGAAGGATGCCTGTTTCCAGGAAGAGTGACCTGAAAAGCCTAGTGCCTGGCCTCTTTCAATTTAGCTTTGTGTCCAGTTTTTTGTTAGTTCTTCCTCTCAGCCAGGCGGCACCCGCTGTTCTGTGAGTCTCAACTTCCCTCCCATTAGTACAGTTTCCACTAAGGAGAGGCAAACAAACAGAAACTAAACTCCTCACCAAGGCTGTTTGTATCAGACAGTCTGAAATGCAGAAACTTTTGAAAAAAGAAAATGTATCATTCCTATAGTCCCCTTGCTTATCCAGGTAACCACTTGTATGTATGTGTTTTAGTTCTCAAAAACTAAGTGCTCCTGAAAGGCAAAGAATAACTTCTGTAGCGTGTTGATTATAGCAACCACAGATAAAAGAATTGACAGACTGTCGTAGGAATGTATGCAATGGACACTGAATTATTAATGAGAAACACGCTAGGAAGAAATTTGAAATTTTCTAAGACCCAAGCTGCTTAACCCATTGTTTTAGCTAAACAAATTGCTTTATCTTAAGTGGGATGTGGGATTCTTGGTTAGTTGTATTTCGTGTTCCTTAAAGATTACAGCACATACGGGAAAAAAAAAAAGAATGTTCATCAGGTTTTTTTTAAAAATGTGGTTTTTTTCCCCAAGAAGAACTTTTTACTAGCCAAGCTTCATAGTGATTTAAATGCCTCTTTGCCAATCACTAACTAAAGACACCTGACTATTCCTCAGGGGGTTGAAATTTCAACAGTCTTCATCTAGATGCCTTGGCGTCAGTTGTGGTTGCTCCGGGAGAGGGGGTGATGGGAGCTGGTGAAGCACAGCTCTGTTGTTCAGGAGCTCATGTGTTCACTTTGTGCTCATCTCAGGGAAACCACTTCTCAAGTTAGTGGTAGGCCTCATGAACAAAAGAAGGAAACTTAGCACCTGACATGGCCATGATTTGTTTGTGAAGTGGTTTCCATAATGAATTTTCAATCCGTGAAAAGAGACTGACAACAAGATACCACCTCACACCCACTAGGGTGGCTATAATAACTTACAAAAAAAAGAAAAATAACAAATGTTGGTGAGCACATGGAGAAACTGAAATCCTTATACATTGCTGATGGGAATTTAAAATGAAGCAGAAGCTTTAGGTTGTGATGAGTCCTCAAAAATTTAAACATAGAATTGCCATATTCCCCAGCATTCCCACTCCTAGGTGTTTACTGCCCCAAACTGAAAATAGGTATTCAAACAAAAACTTGGACATGAATGTTCCTAGCAGGACTATTCATAATAGCCAAAAAGACGAACAATCCAAATATCCATCTACTGATGAATTAAAATGTATATAATCAAAGTGTGGTATATCCTTTTGTCATTCATCCATAAAAAGGAATGAAGTATCAAAACACGGTACAACACAGACAAACCTTGAAAGCATTATGCAGAGTGAGAGAAGCCAGACACAAAGGTCATGTACTGCATGATTCCATTTATGTGAGACATCCAGGACAGGCACATCCATAGAGACGAGGCAGATGAGAGGTTGGCAGGGGTTGAGGGGGAAAGGGGAGGGGGAACAAATGCTTCATGGATATGGGGTTTCTTTTGGGGGTTATAAAAATGTCTGGAATTAGCAGTGGTAGTTGCACAATATTCTGAATGTGCCAAAAGCCAGTGAATTGTGCACTTTAAAATGGTTAACATTATACATTTTATGTCTTGTGAATTTTATTTTAATAAGAGAGGCTGAGATGGATATGAGCAAGCAGTATTATCAAATTTTTGCAGCCACATATTTCTTAACGTTGTATCTGTGAACTAATCCACAAACAAAAACAACCAAGCAAAAGGCAGCACGTTTCTGGGCTAAACAGCACGTGATTGGAGTTGCAGCTGTTTTAAAATTATATTAAGAGCAGGAGGCTGGTTAGGAATCTGTCTTCCCCTCAGACCGCAATTTAATGTAAACATTTCCTAAAGAAACAAGAACACGAATGTGGCCATGGGATTATTTTGTTATATTATGTAAAGAACACAACCTACGAGAAGTTAGGACTTTATGTTTAAAAACCTTGTTTTCTTTTTTTCTGAGTGTATGTATCTAAAATAATGAAAAGCTTAGGATAAGATTGTTTTCTCCATCACAGTTACTAGTCCTTCAGTCCTCCTTTCTTACTATCTTTCATATGCCTCTGTGATATGAACATTTTCTCCATAAGACAGAAGAAAAAAGATAGCTTTCAAGAAGAGGAGAATGGAAAATCCTGATTTAGGAAGTTGCAGAGTCTTAAGCAAACTGATTTTCTTCAGCCACCTCAATTCTCTCCTACAGGCTACACTCCCCTGTGTGATCACGTACCAGGTGTACACTTCGATTACTGTATTTATCACACTGTGCTTTGATTTGTGTGTGTGTGTGTGTACTTATCTGTCCCCTCTTCTAAATCTGTAAGCTTGTTCGGAACAGGGACTGTATTTTATTTATCTTTGTATCCACAGCACCTAGCACAGTATGTGGAAAATTGCCCAACACCTCCTTGTTCTATTTGTCCAAGGATAATACCTTCTTTTTTTCTAACCCATAAAATGTAAATGCAAAGAAAAGAACTTCGGGCCTCTTGCAAGAGGAGTTTTAATATCTGTGTAATATCACCATCTGTAATAATTCCTTATACATTTCAGTCTTCTGAATAACTTCAATTTGCATGTCCTATATCAACAATTATCACGCTGATGACTCATTCATTGATCATTCTTGGGCTTAAATTTCTTGGCAGAGAAAGAGCTATGGAAAATGGGCAGTACATACTTTTGTAGGTAATGATGGTTATTTAATAGTATCATGCAGTGTGAGAGCCATTATACGTGGAAGATCGTTTCTTTTTAATTGCAGCCCTGAGTCCCAGTTGGTTTGGTGGAATAGTAATTATCAGGAGCTCAAACTCTGCTTCTGTCAAAATTATTACCAATGTGTTTTTTTCCAACTGGAGCCTATGATGATCCTCAAATGAGCTCCTTTAATCCGTGCCAGTGGTAATGGGCTGGCTAGGGCCAGGGATGAAAGGGAACACTTCCTGGAACATACTCCGCCCTGGCATCATCAGAGCTGTGTTTACACATACCCGTCTGGGCAGATGGGACCACGCTGGCTATGAGGGGCAAGCACCACTCAGCAGCATGGCCCACAGCACAGGTATGTGTCGCTTTAAGGACCATTTGTCATTAAGCAGTTAACATGATGACAGTCTAATAAGAAAGTCACCAGTGCAAAAGTAGCTCTAGGGCTAAAGAACAGTCCTGGACCTCATTTCCCGAGGATGCCCCATGGCTTCACAGCAGAGCTGGTGGCCTGTGGTTCAGTTCATCACCAGTCTCAGCAAACTCACCCTGGCCTGTTGATTTTCCTATTGCCTCTTCTGTGAAACAGCAGGATAGCATCTTTTTTGTGTGCTTTTGAAAAAAAAAAAGCACACAAAATGCAACAACTCATGTTTATCCCTATGGATTCTCTACTACTAAATAATATTTCTAAGAACAAGAGTTCAATACATACAGGAAAGTATTCATTATTATTAATGGATAAGTAAGAATAGAACAAAAGCAGCCACGTGTTACCTGTATTATTTTGAGCAGTCGCTGCCAGTGATACGTTTTTCTGTAATGTAGTCTCTGTTAGTCAATGATTTCAAGATTGGTGGTATTGGTTTCAGTGAATTTTGGGAGCATTTTTCTTTTTAGCAGAAACTACCAAAAATGCTTTTAAAGGCACAAAACCATATTTTTTGTTTCTTTTCATTGATATTTGAGTTTTGAGCAGAGAATCTAAACGTTTACAGTCAATCACCCATTCCCTGAGGAAGGGCTGTTCCTTTGGAGTGGGCTGTCCCTGTCAGTCAGCTTCACCAGCTGAGAAACAACCCAAACACATCAAAGGGCCAGGTGTGGGAAGCAAAGCCATTTTGTAGATGACAGCTCTGTAACCCTCTTTTTTTAAAGATATGAAAAGTTTTATTCTTAATTTAAAACAAGAAGGCATAAAATCAGAGGCTGATTTAAATCTACGTAGACATCATAACACCTGCCACGTTGAGGCAGGAGCCAAGGCATGTGCTCCATCAGCCAAACCACAGTTTGCTTAGATGACAGGAAGTAACTTAAGTGATCGGCCTTTTCTCCTTTCCCACAGTTAAGGTGGAACTGGTCAGTGGCTGGTCGGTGTTGCAAGCACCTGTCTTCTGCTGGAGGCAGGAAGAACGAGGTGGCGGGGAGGCAGTGTCATGAGTGGTGGGCTCAGTGGTCCAGGAAGGGAAGGGCTGGACTGCTTGATACCCCTTCCTCCTGAGGACGGGCTGTCTCACCCACACCAGCCGAGCCTCTGCTCTCCTTTCTCCGTGCAGCGGGCAGGAGTCGGGAGGAGAGGTACGAGGGGAATGGTGCTCCCCTTTGACCTTGAGGAAGCAGCCCCTGTGATTATGACTGCCTGCCCTTCCTTTCCTGTTGGGAGAGCTGGTGGGGCCACCTGCCCTGATTAGGAAGTCACCCCTCTTTGTCAGCTGCCTGGGTGAGCGGAAATTTCACTGCTTATGCAATTCGCCAGAGCACTGGTTTCTAATACTATAGCCTAAAACTTTTTAAAACGGTTTTGTAGAAGTAATATTCAGTAGAAAACAGACTTAATTACCTAATTCTATATAGTTACTTTTGGTCCCCATTTCTTATTGAGAAAGAACTGGGCATTAATATCGGAATTCCATTATGTATGAATAATACTATGTTTTAAAATCAAAACCAAGTAAAGTATTCATTAACTTAACAAATATTTATTGAGTACCCCCTGGGTGGCGGGCACTGCTCTGGGCACTAGAGATACAGTGGCAAAGACGAACTAGTTTCCAGTGGAATTTTAGAGACAGAAAGAGAGTCAACAAAAAGACACATACGTAATGTGACTATTTTCAGTGACAAGTTCTAAGAAGACTTCTCTTCTCTTCTTAAGGGATGAG